TATAATATAAATACAAATATTGCAAAAATATAATTCTTATTTTCAAATATTATCATGTTAAATTTTATTTAAATATTAAAAAAGTAGATTAGAGACATATTTATAGTAATTATGCAGGCAAATTTGTCTGCAAATCTCTACCAATTAAGGAATAAGATTATTATACAATAACAATCTAGAATAGTATATTGCTCTACTTTAATAGAAACTCACTAAGCCGAAGCCCAATGCGACTAGCTATAACAACTGTTAGTCTCACAGTAGAATCCAAAACTAGCTTCAGATTTTATATCAACAAAGGATACCCCCCTCAATCATTTAACAGGCCGTTGTATACCATGTCAGGATTTCTTTTTTTCTTTTTAATTCTTCCTTCTTCTTAAGGAGCACGAGACAAAAGAAGAAAATTTTCAAACAAACAGTAATGAAAACGACCAGAAAAAAAGAAAAAAAGAAAAAAGAAATACCTGATTGTGAAAAAGAAAAAACATAAAAAGAAATCCAAAACCTTGAAAACACTATTATAGCTTGTGTATAGCTAATAAAAATTATATAACAAATACAACATTTGTATATCTCTACTGTAAAGCTATGCCTTAACATTAAATTTACTTTCTGACCTTCCCACCAACTTTGGATAGCTTCATTGCCCATCCTAATTCGTATCTCGAGCCAGGTGCTGCCATCGTCCGAGGACCTATGTCTCAAGCTACCTGCTGCCGTAATTAGAGTTCCCAGGCCAAGTCCCATGAAAAGGTACTATATTCGTCTGTAAACAAACACATAGTTGCATTCTGCTAATCTGTCTGAATTTGGGAAATAAACAATGCCGATCTTTTGAAGGGGGTAAGCCAAATTCACACTTTTTGTTGAAATTTTTTGGAAGATTGACAAAAGGATAAAAGAGAGTAAAAAGGTACCACTTGAAGAAAATAACAGAATATTTTGTTGTTCCCCAATATCTTCAAAGAAGTACGACCTAAGAGCTTCGTCGACGAAAAAAGAGGGGCGTCTAAAGAGTTTTTTTTTCCACCAAGATTTTTTGTACAAGAGCACCTCCTGCCAGTTATCTTGTATAATAATGCTCTTGGCTTGCATGCCGAATGTTACCTATAGAGGAGTCCCAAAGCAGAATGTTAATCTCTAGACAAACCACTATGTTAGGCTATGACTCTCTAACAAAATTTGTATTTTTCTTCTGTAAAAATTTTGAACTGAGTGATTATCGAAAAAAGAATATATTTAATTATAATATTTTAAAATTAATTTTATAATTAATTCAAATATAATTCTATCAATTTTATTTGATTTATTTTTATTTTATTTAAATTATTTCAGAATAATGTGAATCTATTTAAATTATACTAATATTTCTCAATTTATATTAAAATAATTTTAGTCATAATCGAATTTAAATTTCTAAAATATTAAATGTTTTTTAATATTATACACTTTATTATTGTCAATAGTTTTATTTATTGTTATTTACTTTAATCTATTTCGAATTAATGCAAATTAATTTGCTAACCATAAATTTGTCATAAATTTTCGCTTTCTTTTTTATAACGTTGCAAAATTTCTTACACTATATTTCATAAAATCTTATATAATATTTATAATTTAATATTTCGCAAGTTTTTGAAATATATTACGCCTTTTTTACGGGTCGTAATTTATTACGTAATATTACTTTTTATTAAATTTGCTGATGTAAAAAAAAATATTTAAAAGTTTTATGAATTTTATTAATTTGGCACTTTTTTTAGCTTCAACAATGTTTTTGAATTCGATCATGGTAATATTAGAATTGAACAACCATATGTATTTAAAATATACTTATAAGGTTTGTAATATATTTATTAATTTTTTATTATTTCAGAACCAATAACCTTGAAACAAACAATTCCAGCATGTCTAACTCCATGTCTAACTCTACGCCTAACTCCATGTCTAACTCTTTTACGCCTAACTCTACGCCTAAATCTATGTTCAACTCTACTACACCAAAATCTATATTTAACGTGTCTAACTTTATATCTAAACCAATATTGAAAAGTAATTGCCAAAAAAATAAAAATCCTAAAAGCTCTTTCAAAAGTTCTACCTCTTCCAAAGGTTCTTTTAAAGATTCTTCCAAAGGTTCCTCCAAAAGAAGAGGTTATCTGAATATTTCTACTGGTAACTTCAATTATATCAGAGATGAAGATGAAAATTACGATAATCCAGAAATTTGATTTTTTAGTAATTGTATATGATTAGTATTAGGAAAATTATAAATATGCTATATAATTAGTATAAGCAGAAATAAATCGAATGTATATAATATATATGAGGTGAGTTAATAGAAATCAAGCAAATTTTTTATAATAAAAATTTTTTATAACTTTAAACAAGATTAACTTAATGAAACCTTGATCAAATTTAACAAAATTTTTTAAAATAATTTTTACAAACTTGTAGAATTAATTTAAAAAACAATTTATTAAATTTGATTAAGTTTTTGTTAAGTTATCCTTGTTTAAAAACTTATTAAAAAAAATTTGCTTGGTTTCTATTGACTCAACCCCATATATCTTATGAAAGATAGATATAATAAAATATAAAGTGATACTAGCTAGCCGATATCCAAGCTAAACTTAAATATTTGTAACAAAATTTTATAGAAACTCAAGTATATATATATATATAATAAATAAATCGAATGAAATTTTGTAAGTTTTGTTAAGTATAATAAAGCAAAAATGTGATATCAGCTAGCGGATACCCAAGCTAAATTATTAAAAATCTATATAAACTTTAAATATTCAAGCAAAAATCTATATAATTCAAGAAAAAACCTATATATATGCATATATATAGTCATCTCCCTCTATAATTATTTAGTTTATTCAGCATATTTTGGTGATTATATAAAGGTGTGATTGAATAGAGTTACCTCTATATAATCACACAATATAGTATAGCTAGCACAATGTGATTTTAAAGAGGTAATTTAAAAAATAAATAATAAAATTAATTTATTTCAAAATTAACTATATTAAATACTTAAAATTATTACTATATTCATATTTAATTTAATATTTTAATAATTTACTACACTATTCAAATACTGTAATTATATTTAGATATGCATTAAATAATAGAAAAATAATCAAAATTCAATTACCAGTACAATAGTTTTAGATAATTAATACTTAATATGTAAATTTTAGAAACTTATATATCCCAATGATTAAGGCCTAGGTATTATTCACCATACCTATTAGCCTAATTCTTGAAAAATACCCGGGGAATAACCATATATAGCCCAATCATATATTAAGCTCAAATTATTGAGTATTCGAAGAAACTATTGCTTGAGTTCACGAAATTTTCCACAAACTGTTACTTGAATTTATGTGATTAACAATTGATTCATCCTTATTATCATATTTAGTGTTCAGATTCAGATTAAAAAACTCGGTTTGATCCGGGTACTAATTATTTTAAAAATAAAAGTTTTGATTGAGATCATGGGTACTACTCTAAAATGGTAAAACCAAAGAGCCGATAACTTATCTTTCATATTATTTATTTGGAATCGGTTAAAGACTCAATAATATTGAATTATTTATATTTCTTTATTATAGTGAACAATTTGGTACCAGAATTACTATAATATTGACAGCTATAAAAAACAGCTCAAAAAAATTTTTACTTCTAGTTTGGGAAAAAAAATTTTCATAAAAAAAAAAAAAAGAAAAAAATTATAAAACTAAGTTCACATTCAGAAGTTCTGTATCTATATGCATAAGTACTAATTAATAAAAGTTTGAATGTTTTAATAAAATCCTGGGTAAATAAAGCAGTGCTGAATAGTAAAACCAAAGACAATACCTTATTTTCATATAATTTATTGAAATAGTTCAGACCTAATAAGATATTAAATTATCTACAGATTCCTGATTATAAACAATTTGGCACCGAAATTGCCTAATATTGATTACATTAAATTGATACTATTCCATAAAAAACAACCTAAAAATTTTCTAACAGACGTAAAAAAAAAAATTGATCAAAAAAAAAAAGTATTCAAAAAAAAAAAAATCTTTGCTTCAAAAAAAAATCAACCTGCTAATAATTGTAAACAGGTAAGAAAAAATCAGAAATTGATTTCTGCTTTATTGATTTTACATGTTTCCTTCCTATTAATAGCATGTATTTTCCGAAAACCTTTAAATCCTTTACGTTAAAGTCACCGCTTTTTTGTTGCTCAAAGAAGCTACCAAATTTGTTTAGACCGTTTAATCTCTTTATAATAGGAACTTCAGGTGGCTTCTCATTGGTGTCACTCGCATCACCTTCTTTATATTTACATTGTTTATCTAATACAATATTCACAATTTGCATTTCGTCAAGAACATCCTTTATAAGTATTTGAAAATTATTTAAATTGTCAAAATTATTTATCTCTTGCTCAATTGTCAGGTCTGATAATCTTGTTGTTAGGTTAACAATCAATTCATCATTTTTATCTTTTTCAAAATTTGCTAAATCTTGCAAAGCAAGAATAGAATCTTCAATTTCAGCACCAGAAAGTACCAGAAGAATTTCAGTTTTCACCTAGCACTTTACAATTGTTGATGTTTCAACTTCATCCCATGATTCTGAAACATAAGTTATCGCTTCTCTAATGTTCAATTTTTGCCTACATAATTCAAGAAAGTTTAAATTAATAAAATTCTTTAAAACCATTTTATAGTAAAAAATAGCAACACAAAAAAGATATAAAACTAAAAAAAAAAAGATTACCATTTAGTACTGCATATAGTCTGAGTACTATTGCTATACTAATCTAGCTATTTTGGGGATATTATATGCAGTGCTATCCCTTAAGCTGTAGAGTTCGTGTAACAATTTTAGCTTAAAAATAGCATAAATTTAGTTATGATTTATTTTTT